TAAATGGCCAATATTGCCTATTTCAATTTCAGATATGCAATCCTGTGTTTGTACCAAACAATTAAGAATAAAAGATGGGTTGCTTTATCAACCTTGACAAAGAACAATCAGCTGTTCAGTGCAAATTGTAAACAAACAAACAAACGCAACAACAATTTAAAGGAACGAGCAAAAGTGTTGCCACTTGTTTGGCATATTTAAATAAAGTTGATCTGAAACCCAACGGAAGTTAAACGGCATTTAAATAACAATCCAAAATTAAACTTAACTGCCGTTTAAGTATTCATTTGAAATTGGCCCTAAGAAATTATCAAAAATTTTGGCACAAAGTAAGAAAGGGACTGTTTCGTCTATTTCTTTAAATTAAAGTCAAATCTGCGGAAAATTAACAATAAAATACTTTCTTCGCAAAATCTACAAAGGGCCTTTTTATTAAAAAAAAAAATGCCTGTAGTTTGGGCTGAATTTGTTGGATTTTTTAGACTATTCAAAAAAGCTTAAGCACTCCCTTACAGTAAAATTAAAAACACGAAGAGCATACAGCATTTTTTACACAAACATATTTTTTTCCCCCGATCGCTACTACACTAAAGGCCCGTATACATACAAGAGCAGCACAGGTAAGCACCTCTCTATATGACTAATCATCAGCTCTTCTAACATCCCTTTAATTACTGTCCAAAACCAGTCCGTTCTGGCCTTTTCCTGAGCCTATCGTTAGATGAGAATGAAGAGAACATTTAGTCGATTCACTGATTTAGATAGAGTTTGGTAAAAGTCTGTTCCACGAGCCCGAAATTGCGCAATTTCGACACTCCATTTAAATTTGAAATATTAGCTGTTTACACGACCATCTCAATTTCGATGACAGTTTGTTGTTGTTTTGTTAGTTTTGTTTAGCTCGGTTTGTTTGTCCTATTTTTATTTACATGTTATTGACGTTTGTTTTTCTTCATTTAGCTCATTAATTGTTCACAATAAGCAATTTTCAGAGTTTTATTTGGGAAGTTGAGGCAATTTCATGCGCAATTTCAGGTGACAGTTTTTTGTATGCCCAAATATAGAATCGTATCGCAATTTCAGCTGAAACTGAGTATAGTGTCGAAATTACGCAATACGGGCGCCGTGGAAACGCGATGTAATACTAAGTCCCCACGGGCACTGCCAACTCACTACGTTTGTGAATACCTCCGTCTACACTTCAAATAGGGATATTTTCCGAGTCTCCAGAGCCCCTGCACGGTGCACGGATTGCATGGATTGCACGGTGAAACCTGATTTTCATATGAGACAGCTTTAGAAACCGTACAATCCGTGCAAGGGCTTTGAAAGATTGCGAGAATACCGCTTATGTTTTACATAGTTTAGTGCAATTTGTGAAAACTGAATGAAGACGACTGAATTGTGTCGTTATAGAAGAGGACCATCCACTTGAAGAAGAAAAAAAAATTGTTTCTTACTTTAAAGATTAATCCAATATTTTATATGTATTTGTTATAAAACATACATTTCTGTTCGCCTGTAACTCAGCTCCTACTATCGAACTAGTTCATTGAGCTGAACGAACTAGAAGTGAACTAAAAAGTCCAACTCTAGTTAGCAGTGTGTTATATTGCAGCAAAGTATTGAATTCCCCAGCACAGAGCACTGATAAAAATTTAATTGAAAATTTGTGGGCATACATATTTGAAAAAAAACGAGTTGCAAAAGAGTCGAGCAGAGCTTAAAAATGTAATTTTAGAAGAATGACATGAGATACCACAGGACCATGAAGTTCAAAAACTAATTCATTCCATGACTCACATAATGGGCGCGTTTATAAGACGTAGCTGTTTAGCTCAACTGCTACAAACTGTTGGCAACTGTTGGACCAAACAATTACGTCTTAGAAACGGCTTGATGAATATGCTGCCAAATGAACAGTTGATAAATGTAAACAAATGAAATTGCAATAAATAGAGATAGTTGTCCCGATAGTATTTAGAATTCAACGCTGAGCTGCCGCCGTGTTGAAAATATCTTTCAAAGTTACAATGAATTAAACAGTGTATAATTATAAAGCAAACATCTTAAAAACATATATTTAGAAACGTGGTATTAGTATAAAATATTTTAGTTACTTTATAACATCAGTAATATAAAATAGAATAAATTTGTTTGCAACTGCCACCTAACAAAGCGGCGTTAAATTTAATACAAGCGGCGTAAGTCTTTACGATCAGCTGTTTAGGCTAAGCCCAACACGTTGAGTTCAGGTAGCGTCAAAATTTTCCGTTTGAAAAAATGGCGGAAAGTTGCCAACTGTTGAACTGAACGGAACTACTCAACTGTGCGTTTCGAAGACAAACACTCAACAGTTTAACAACAGCTACGTCTTAGAAACGCGCCCAATGTTTTGTAAATCATACAACATAAAGCTGTTTTCTGCAAATGTAAGAACACTGTCAGGTGGAAGTTCTCTCTGATTTGCTTTTTATTTTAATATTTCTTCAAAGTGAATGACTCAACTTTCAACAACCAGCTCACAATTGTTTATTTTAACGAAATAAAACCAAAAATTGAAAGAAAGTAATGGAAAAATATGTTTTTTAAACATCATTTAACATTTCGCTGTTACAAAAAAAATCTTTCCTGAAAAACTTTGTGTACTTTATGCAGGTATTCGTTGTGTTTTGTATATTTAGTTATTAGTCCGGTCAAATTAAGTACATAGACTAAAAACAGTAGGACCATTCCATTGTGACTGATGGGACATTTTACTCCAGAATGTGATCAATTGTGAATTTTAGATATGTTCTCGGAACTTATACAACAGCGAAAGATAATTTTTAACATAAAACGATTACTTATGCATAAAATTGCTTTAACAAAAATACCAAACGATTTCTTATTTTTATGTAACTATCATTTGAATGAATGTGACTGGTGCGACATTGAAAATAACTCTATTTTACCCTTGTGCACTCAAAAATGAATTTTAGCCAAAACACGTAATCTTCACGAACGACGTTTTTGTGTTGTAAAATATGAATTGTAAGCTTTCGTTTTCAATAAAAATGAGGCTTTGTGTCATATTCATAGAAATATTACAAAAATATTTAAGTTGTGACTGGTGGGACATCTTCTTGTGACTGGTGTAAAGTTATTACGCATGAAATAAAAGTTCCCAAAGACAAAAATTACAACTTCGTTTAAGTTTTTTAATATTTTCCAACAGATTAATGAAATGTAGTCATTTTAAAAGAGGTTACTACTGAAATAGAGATAATTAGGGCGTATTTAAATGTATGTCGTTTTCCTCTTTTCAATGGAATGACTCAGAATTATAAAAATTCGCATAGAGCTAGAATTTGTAACACCATTACAAATAAGGTCATAGGTAAACAATATCAGTTTGTTGCATTTTTCTCGTAATTAAATGTCTATCTTGTAATTAAAGGTGAAAACGGCACTAATTTTTTTTTTTATATATAGATACTTATGTACATTGTCAAGTCAAAAGGCCTTTTTTACCTTATAAAAGACTTTGCAAGTTTTAAATTGGGAGAGTGAGCTTTAAAAAAATTTTACTTAAACTTTACATATTTCTGGATGCTTCACTTCTTAAACTTTAAATTTATTATAAGTATTTCCTTTTACATATGTATGTACAAACATACATACATACATACGTATGTATATATGTATATCCAGGCTTATCAACATTTTCAGTTAATTTGGATAATCATGTTTCCATCTCTGTTAACTGAAGCCTGATTTTAATGAGCATATTATTGCGGCGTAAGTTGTAAAATCCGACTTTGAGTTATAGTTCTTTTCTACAAACACGCTATGTTATTTCGTTAATGAGTAAATTTAACAAAATAGTTTCGTTATGTTTCAGAGCTAAATTGACGAAACAAACCCCAGTCGTTAACGTTTAAACAGAACAAAACTGAATCGTTGGAAAATTGTTGTTGTAAACCATTGCCAGCTCACTGTTAGCACCTAGTGCCTAAATGTATGCTACAGCTTCAGCGTAAACGTTAAAAATCAAAATACGTGGAACTTTTGGCATTTTGCATATTTCTAGCGCTTTTCCTAAGGCCCTGTCTCCACACGAAAACACCGATGCCGTGATAACCATGTCACAAAATATATTTCCAATGGAGACCGCCTATTTCTCATGGGCGGCAATATATGTATTTGAGCGCTTATTGTTTGACGTCTATTGCAGGCAATTCGATAGTTTGACAGCCATATTTTCATTTGAAAGAAAGCGTGCTGGTAGTAACATCGATGAAATTTTGATATTAAATCAAAATAAAAATCTGTTTCCTATTGTATTAATTATGATTACGTTTTAGGAAATTATTCAGCAAGTTGTTTAAAGGTTTAAATGTTTTTAAACATCCAAATTGAGGGAATGTTGTCTGGTGGCGTCATGCGGCAAATGCTTATTCCAAGACATCAAAGTACCGACACACAAAACTTGCAATCACATTGCTCGTCAAAATGACAGTTGGCAGGCCATCGGTGTTCGCCTGTGGAGTTCTGCGGTAAGGACTGTGGCAATTTTTAGCTTTATGCGAAATTATGTAAAATGAAATGTCTGTTTTGACCGGGAATTATTGAATGTATGCTTTTTAGTCAGCAGTCACTTTGTAACGGTCATAGGTATGTACTTGCAGTTTTTAATTTGAAATTAGCATAGGTGACACTCTGTATATCTATGCGTATGGGTGCTTTTACTGGGAAGTAAAGAAAAATAATCTTAATAAGTGGCATAGTTTCTGTATCATCTATAAATGAATTTTGAGTTGCATTCGTCTCCGAATGGCACACTGTTTGTAATTGGAAGCTTTTTGATGGTAAAAACTTCAGCGCAAAGATAATCGGCTTTCAAATATCTAATATGAGCTCAGGTATACTAGAGAGTATACTCTTTGCCCTATGACCAACAAATTTCTGTTTCAGAATCTAACGGTCACCCCGCCCATATAAAATGAATCTCACCTCACCATTACTACAAACACTGTTGTCGTCCTGGTGGCCGCCACTCCCGACTTCACTATCGCAATCCTCATTATCCTGGTAGTCACTATTGTTATCAAGTTCCCGTGCGGCGGCGGCAGCGCTGGCATAATGCTGTTGCATCACAGCCGCATATTGAGCCACATTGAGGCCATTTGAGCCGATTTGTGTGGCACCGACGGGAAAATGAATTTTATGTGCAGCGCCGGCAACGGCCGTCCCAGCAGTTACGGGCGTTTGAGTATGTAACGGAATTAAATTATGTGGAGGGGGGACTCGTGAATGATGTATTTGTGGTTGAAGTTGCAGATGGGCCGAGTGGAGAGTTAGTGGCGCTGGTGCGGACGGAGACTGCTGCATGGACATTGAAGATTCGAGTGACTGATGTGAAGGCTGGATATACGCAATTTGACCTCCGTTATTGTTACCACTGTGATTGTTATTGTTTATATTTTGCTTTTGTTGTTGTTGTTGTTTATAGAATGCAGCAGCCGCCGCTACACTGGCTGCATTGGCCGCCTCGACGGCAGCGGCAGCGGCGGCACTACCAGCTAGAATATCGTTAATCATAAAACGCGACCGATTCGGCTTTAAATGAGACATTTTTTGCTGTTGACCACTAGCGGCAGTTGGTGAAGGGGTTATGACTGTCATTGAATCTTTCATTGTTCACTGTTTTCTTATTTATTTTGGAATTTGATTTCTATCTTTTATACAGGTTGATTTTAAAATTCAGATCAACCTTAATCGTATTATAGCACTCATTCACTCAGCACTACACCGAAACGGAAAACTGCGCCGCAATAACTTTCTTCGCCTCCGTCGAAACACGACTAACCGCACCTGCGAGAATTTCAGTTACCAAAAGTGTTTCATTAACTACTGTCAGACTTTAAGTTGGATAAACCAGTTAGTAAAGTGGTGGATGCTCAACCACACATATGCATTGGTCTCGCTTGCCATCGTAATATTCCAACTAGTACCTTTCTTTGCATGAGTGCGAACTCCTATGCCTATTCACTCATACCAATTAGGCCGCCATGATTCAAACTCTCTCCGCCTCAAATGATACTCCACCGTCTCTTCTTAAAAACATACTCATATGTATGCATGTTGTGTTGAAAGGAGGGGTATGAGGTGTATTAAATGATTTACCGGCTCGGTGTTTTTATAAAGAGTACCTAGTATGCATACCTCTTATATACATATATGTATATATATGTCTGAATACGTGCGTATGAAATCTTAATTCAATATTTTACACCCATTAGATAAAAAGCTTGTAAAAATAACACTCAAGCACTTTATCGCTCTCATACACATATACATATACACATAAAGAGAACTGTGTTGAATTTGCTACGTTATAGGGGAAAATCTTGTGAAGTCAGTCAATTTGTAGCATCTACAATGTACAAAAATATGTAGATATTTTCGTGGTGAAATATTAAGCTATAAAATAGGAGGCCCTGTATGTATTGGTTGTTCCCCTTGCAAAGGCGGTTTAATGTACCCTGATATGCCTGTACATACCTATACACGTACATATGTAGGTATGTACATAGCTAACTGTGATGTTTTGTATGTGGCTTACATACAAAGTATGTGAAATGCAAAGGACATAGAACAAAGATGCTGCATAATTTCTTCGGCTTTCATATTTAATAGAAAACATAGAAATTCAAATTGATTTTTATTGGAATTATACTTGTCGACAGGCAAGAAGGGCGTTCATATTTTCGTTGCCAATACATACATACATATGTATGTATCGTTAACGTAATTTGAAAAGGCCCCTAACCAACACTTTTTTCGAAACTGCGTTTTTCACAGATTTTTGTAGGACAGGGCTGGCGAGCCATTGATGGCATGCAACAAAATAATTTGGCACGTTATTATTTGATGATCCAATTCCTCAATCACTAGTAGTAGTTACTACTTAATCGAAACAATTTCTTTTTTACGTTTAAATTGGAGACCAAAGTAAGATCTATTCTCACCCAACAATATACATATGTATGTAGCTCAGAAATGCCAAAAATAGAGACAGCAATAAAAAAAAGCCACAAATGAAATTGGTTCTAGTGCATCATTCACCAATAAACCACGGTTTCGCCTCCTCCGTTGTAATATAATGGCCGTAGTCACCATATCTTCGCAGGCATAAAATAAATGAAGTTTTGAGGATTTTACGTAAGCTTGCAAAGTTTATGGTTTCTACGGATACGTGCAAGAAATTATTGTATTTGAACCTAAAGTTTCAAGGCGATGGACTCACATGAAAGAGCAGATGGAGCAAGAGGCACCGAAGAGTTTTCGTTCGGAATAAAATCCGTCATCAAAGAATTTTCACCGAGGCTTTCTGAAGCCACAGAGTTATCGGAAACACTCAAGTTTATTATGTATCCTGGTGTGACCTTAATTGGTAAAATGAACTTGTCTAATTGGGTTGTATGCGGAGCTTTTCGGCCGGTAAATTCAAAAGGCAAAATTTATTTTTCCTTCTCTCTCCTACGCGTTTCGGCGTCCTTCACGCCTTCACAAAACATAAAAACACAACAACCCTATAGGAAAATTAAATAACTGGCCCTAGAAAAGTATGAACTTGTCTAAATTTTGTAATGGAGCTCATTCAGCTGCTGTGTAATTTAACATGGACTAAAATTTTTTTCGAAACAAGGAAAGTGTTGGCATTAATCGAATTAGAAATACCCAAAGCAAATTTAACCAAAAATGCTAATACTAAAATTTTCGAAACTTTGATTTCAATTTCAGACAGCAGAAGAAGAATTTTCGAAACTTGAAATTCAATTTCAGACAGCAGAAGCTGGCGTTTGCTATGTTGAAAATATTATAATCTACCTATGCATGTGAGTCCTTACCACTTACGACCTAAACGTACCTACACAGAGACATTTAAAGGCGGATTCATCAGTTTAGTTAAGAACTTTTCTTTCATGGGGCTGTCGCTGAGTTTCTCTCCCAGAGAGAGGAAAAGTTCAGAACTAGAACGATGAATCCGCCTAAAGGGCTAAGCGTTCTAAAAAAAAAAATGTGTACGATTATGTGTCAATTAATGTCTCCAAGAACAGTGATAAGCCATGATGTCTTGTTGGCGCGTCATGACTTTGGAAATAATGCCACGTACATATGTATATGTATGTATAAAGGATCGCCCGCCCTGTGCTAGTATGTATTAAAATATACATACATGTGCACCCTCAATAAAAATGTTAAAGTATTAGTACCAAAAATAACTGAGTTACATGCTATTTTTAAAAAGCCTTACCTGTTTTTGGTACTATTTTTATAATGTTTTTGGCTTCTCCTGTAAAATAAATCATTTGCTGGTTAGGGCCTTTGTAAATTAAGGTAACGATATGTACATTTGGGTTGCTGATTTGAATATATCTACATACATACTACAATGCACATAGGTACTCCGATTTTTCAAGGGGGTTCTCGTTTGCGAATTTTGCAAAACATTCGGTTGCTAAAATTTGGAAGACTTTATTTTCCATCGCCATTCAAAAATAGTAGTTGTTGCAAATGTCGCATTTGTCGCAAAATTTGCCACCTTGCGACACAGCTGATCACTTTTGTATGGAGACTTTCTTGCGACGTTGTCATAGCATTTGAGCTGGCAATTATTGCAAAGTCAAAGTCGCGAAACACATGTTTTTTATTGTCTTTAAATACTTCAAGAAAAAGTACGTATATCAGTTAAGGCTGCTTCTTAATATAATTTTAAAAATTCTCTTTTTCTCTAGCGCGTGGCGCTTTAAAAGAAAAATTTACATTTGCAATCCGGAGTTGCGATAGGTCGTGCATACAACTTTGTTCGCAACATTACCATTTCGCCAAAAATGTCACTTTGCGATGTTTTATGAATCGCACTAATAAGTATTTACCCAGCAAACATTGAGGTTAGTCATCGATTAGAGAATGATTGGAGAACTAGCCACATTCTCCAATCTCAAACGTTAGAGAACGACTCGAAAAACTATCGAGAATCATAGCGATCTCAACAAAAACGGGACATAGTTCTCGACTCGAGAAAATATTAATTCCCTAATCGAATTCTAATGTTGATCTCTAATGGGATTCGAATGTGAATTTCAAACTGCTGTTTTGCTTTATTGAATACAACGCATTGTTTGCAAAATTTGTATTAAATGTATTCGCAATAAAATAATAATGGATTATTTGAACTTAAAAATAATGTATAATTCATTCATTGGAATTCATTCATTTGGAATATTGCTTATTTACATTTATATGAATTTGCGTTGTTTCTCTAATCGTTCTCGAATCGAATTCTAATGTAGTTCTCTAACTTCGTCATCGACTCGAGAACGATTAGAGAATTACCCTAGTTATCTAATGTAGAAATCCAAATTTCTCTAACGTTAGAGACTGTGTTTGCTGGGTACACATCCGAATATGAAATATTTGAGCTCGACAAACATAGCTATGTGCAGTGTTGCCATTTTGGTGCTTTTGGAACAAGATTTAGCTCTTTATTTCTCTATTTGGTTCCAAAAATTGGGTTTTAGCTCCTAGCTCTTTTTTTTAGCTCTTTTAAAATTTATCTAGCACTTTTTTAGCTCCAGAAAGTTTAAGTTGTATTTGATATATAAGCCAAAACTTAAGCGTTGATAAAATGGAAAGTTTTGAGATGCAGTGTATCCACCATAAACTCTTGGATCTAGATTAAAAAATTCAAAAATTAATAAATTAAAAGATTAAAAGAAAATCCTTATTCTGATAGCGCGGATTTTGGATTTTGTTTTACCTTTAAGGAGAGCTGGAAGTAAAACTTTCCAGAAAAATTTTGCGAAAAAAATATTTAATTCAAATATCTGAAATTACAGACTTTAGCAGTTTGTAAAGTATTTTTAGTTCACAGTTACAGGTGCCATAGCAACGAATTCGAAATATATGCACTTTATATTTTGGTTTTAAAAGATTTGTTCGGCACTTAAACTTGCAAATTTGTTCGGCACTAAAGCAGCAGTACTGGAAGGCATCGTACATAAAGGTTTACAACTTTTTCTTATATTACGAAAATTAATGTAGTATTAAAGAATTAAATATGCATTTTGTTCAAAGTTCTACGTTTTTCTAAAATAATTTTGGCGAAAGCCGAACACTTATCGTCAATCTGTTGATTAATCGATTATTTATCAAAGAATGGCGGGAAAAGTAGAGATATGTATCTCCAGTTTTTATGGGAGATGAGTAGGGTAACCACCTTTTCATATGCCCAGACCCCGAGATCTAAAAAAATATCCTTACTAATATTATAAATCCGAAAGTGAGTTTGTTTGTTTGCTATGCTTTCACGCTTTAACAACTCAACCGATTATCATGAAATTTTGTACACTGCTGTCATTTAGCCCAACTTAAAATATAGGATAGGATAGGATTTAATCTCGATTAGACAAGGGGCGGAAATTTTCATACTGTATTTCTCAGGAAATATTTTTAATAGATTACTGAAACTTGGTATGGAGATATATAAAATCATTATCTACTCATGGATGAGGGCTGCCAGCTTTTAAAAAATCAAATTCAACTTCAATTAAGGGAGCTATTTATTTAAAAATTATATTAAAAAATGGAAGTCAAAGGAAGGCTTAAAAAACCTGTATCTCGAATATATTTTGAAAAGGGTTGCCACCTGTTTGAAAAGTCAAATTTAAATTAATTATACGCAAGCTATCTGAAGAAAAAAAATATGGTTGTCTAACGAAATATTGCTAAGAAACTTTTAGTTCGAACGTTTTGAATAATATTTAACTCTTCACTAGGGTTGCAACCTTTTTAAAAAGTAATTTAAAATTAATTAT